CCAATCAACATGTCAACTGTTTTGACAAAAAAGGTAGTCACTGTGCATAGTCTAAAGCATAAAGACAACAATGACGATCACTGTAATTTATCACAGGTACTTAAAAGTAAAGTACACAGTTACATAGGATTTAGATAAATCTTATCAGGAGCATGTTTACAAGATATAACCTGTTCTAGAAGCTACACTGAGGCACCTCCTTGTTAGAATGTCAGCACCTTGTGACTGAGTTGTCTCAGCAGCACAGGTGGACGATTCAATGTCAACCTGCTCAACACCTAGGCGCAATCCCAGGCCTGCCAAGGCTTGCAGATAAGTGTTTCACATGTTGGGGTAAACAGATAAGAATCCCAAGGGTGAAGGTTATCTTTGATAGGCAACATTACGTTTATTACATTGCAGAATCTCCATGCATGTGTTTGTAGGGGTGATGCTGAGGTGTGAACTTTTACTAAATATTTTCCTTTAATGTGTTGAAATTGAGAGTGTCATTTTGGGACAAGCTGTCTTACTAGTAACAACATGAACAGAAAGAGTCATGTGTTGGTGATTGGGAAGATATAAAATCATGAATTTATGTTTCTGTTTGTTGTTTAACGCCGAACTCAGCAGTATTCCAGCTACATGACTGCGGTCTGTAAATAATCGAGTCTGGACCAGACAATCCTGTGATTGACATCATGAGCATCGAGCCATGCAATTGGGATACAATGACATGCACTTACCATGTCAGCAAGCCCCACCACCAGATCCCGTTAGTTGCCTCTTACGACAAGCATAGTCGCCTTGTACGGCAAGGGTAATTTATGACCTTACACAAGGCTTAACAGGCCCACCAATAAATTTCACGTATGGATCTACAATAAATTTTCCCAAAAACTTGACTACTTGAAACACATAAGAAATGTTGAAAAGCAGCAGTATAGGTTGGCTTGCATACAAATAAATTATACCTGGTTCTGCTTAACCTTGGAGAGGGATAGTGTCGAGGATGGATTAAATCTGACAGGTTGTTTGGAGATGGTGTTGTACGAATGTGATTTTGAAATGGAACTGGCATTTTAAGATTCATTTTAACCACTCATCCCACTACATGTTCAACCACTGATGAGGAAAAACTCTACCTACTTCACAGTACCAAACAAGAAATATGCTCATTGCAAAATTATCCACACAAAATGTAAATATCCAGTATTATCCACAATATTGAAAACAATTATTTTGCCTCTTCCTCTCAAATAATGAAGCCATCAACCTCAATTGCTTGTGTTTCCATATCTATAATTTCAACAATAAATACCCGTTGATCATAATCATCCTTTGACTTTGTGTGTATAGTCATAATAGTCTCATCAAATTTGAAATACTGATATTCTCTTTAAATGATTTCTTTGTGTTTAAAGGTATGTATGAATACAGTATACTGTAAACTATGGTTATAACGAACTCAAAGGGACCACTAATATTCGTTCGTAATAAACATGGTTTGTTATAAACATATATATACGCCATATATAAGATTGTTATATAGGTCAGTTTGTTATAAGCGTGTTCGTTATAAACCTAGTTTACAGTATGTGTTATGAGTGTATGTAGGAATCTTAATGTTTTGTCATTTCAATATTGCATCTGTTCCATAATCTTCTGCAATAAATACTATCTTATCTTATCTTTATAGTTCAAATGAATATTAGTACACATTTATGTAAATTGAGTTTCATAGCAATATGAGACAGCTTAGTATTCCTATCAGAAGTATGCTATCCAGTCATGTGACATCCTTTTGTGAAAATGTTAGGCCTGATATAAGAAACATGGGACCAAAGAACCACACAGATATGGAGGATCGTTAGCATTTTCAGGGAACATTTCTACTTCATGGTAGGTAGGCAGGTCTCTTAACCTGATTCTCTCCTGTTCAAAGTAGCTTGTTTTGCGATCCACAATTACCGAATTCAGACCAATCCCAGTACACTTTAAAATTTATGAGCAGAAGTAGAGAGCTAGTTTACACAATCTTTGGGAGTGGCCGCAACCTCTCCTTAACCTTATGTCATCCCCAACATGTCTAACCAAGTCATAAGGTGAATTAGTGTCCTTGTAACTTTATTGATGTCTTCTATAAATATTTAGCATGTGGCTTGCTGAGAGAATGATGAAATTGCAAACCTATGTTGCCAGGATGAGACCTTTTTAGTAGCCTCAGTTTCTAATGGAGCCTACTTGATGTCTGTGTGAGAGTATAAAGTGAGTTTGGATGATTAACATGGTGTATGCAGGCAAGGTACAATTTCTTGCATTAGTGTTAGACAGGCTGGTATGCATTTTTATGTATAAGCTGGTGACAAAAATAGGTTCAGAAACTCATGGTATGCATAGTCACCATAGGCCACATGTATTTATGTTTTGGTTGCAGATTTTATTTTTTATATATATATATATATATATATATATATATATATATATATATATATATATATATTTTGGTCTGTCTTAATAGTTTTATAGTTATTTAGCAGAACATTGGGTCATGGGTGGCCCACGTGTGTTAGGCGCTGTTATTTGATGAATAGAGTTGCGTCCCTTAGGCAAACCAGAATCCTATGTTCAAGGGTTTGACTCCTGTTTGCCCTGATCATATTTCAGGTTTGTCAGCACCATGCCTGTGCTTGTAGGTTTACCAAACTTATAGACATCTTTGGCGTCCTTTACTTTCTGTCCACATCAAGCTGACACGCCACTGATGCCATATAGGAAATACTAAATTAAACTAGATAAAATAGAATTAAAGTTGTGTTTTTGGTGGGTTTTTTAGTTTTTCATGTGTTGCCTCCAGTTGGTTTGTCTGTAAAATAATTTTTTTTAGAATAGATTAGACTTAGAAAAAGGTAAAATGTATATTTTATGGTTAGACTATAAATGACAAGTCGGTTGTTTTAATTTCCTTCATATTATTGAGGATGTCAAAATAAGAGCTGTTTTTATTATTTTTGTTAAGGAAATCTCAGTTCAAGGGGAGTATAGAGTAACATGAGGTTTTGTCAGGTGCATGTGTGTGACGAAAGTAACGGGTAACAGCTGAAAGAAAAGATGCTTTTGGTAATTGTAAGCGGGTTAATGGTAAATTTGCTGAATACTAGAAATGTACATCCCCTTAAATCTGTTGCTCTGTTCAAGGGTCATCATGTTTTTCAATTACAAACTCTCACGTGACCACAAAAAGTAGCCGTTTTCTTTAAATAAGGTGATGTTTTCGCCCGAGAAATCAGCGATGTTTTGCTGAAGGGACGTTTTAGCCTGCACCCATTGTTAGCACAGCATTTTTTTTCTACTTTGAATCTAGATCTGTTACAGTTGCCAATGCAATGTAGGCTACTGTCCAATGAGATGAATTTGTTCAATAAATAAAATTAAATAGAAGCAACTAATCCCTTTCCATAATCATAAGAAATTTCTGCTAATAACAGAGTGACAGTCCATTGTATGATTCTGACAACATCATGAGCATGTGTCAAAGCATACTTCTGACAGGCCTAACAGCATTGCAAGTAGTCCTCTGTTGAGAAGTTGTAAGTACTGACTTTTACTGAGGCTATTTTTGGTTCATGGATTGACCTACTGACCAGTGACACAGTACTACACAGTAAAATGCACATGTTCATGGTCATAATTTTTTACATATGTAGCACTTACGTTTAAATGACCTAAACAATATAATACCAATGTAAAGTTGATTAATGCCTGACTATAATGTTTAACAGTAACCATTTGTCAAATTTTACATATTGTGGCCATGAGTTTGTTACCTACCCTACTGCATATATTATAAAGTATTCACCCCCAGTTCTATTGGCACCCCCTTCTCATCTACAGCAGCCTATAATCACAATAATCCTCCTTTTCAGCTCCATTTATAGTCTAAGAGGGTTCCTAAACACTTGAAGCTTCCTTTATGGAATTGTTTTGATGGAACCTAATACATAATATATTTTAAGGGGCTATGTTAGACTGTGACCATGATCTATAATTGAAAATACCTCTGTGCAGTCAAGGTCAAAGATAACTTGATCAGGCCGGATAGAACCAGACCTGCACAACAACAAATTATGGATTTACTATGCACAGCTAGTTCCCAAGTTGACTTGACTTTCCCTGACAAGGAGATTTGTTTTGTTGAAGAATATTTGGAAATAGTTTATGTTCTAAAATAATTTGAACAGCTCTGACTTTTTAAGAAGACACGTAATAAATTGGCTGATTCTGTGTTGACAAGTGATTCTGTTTTGCCAGTGATTCTGTTTGTGATGTCATGACTCTAACACATTAGGTTATGCTACACAGTCTGGAACTCACTTCCAGCCCAGATCTAGACATTGTATTTACCAATGTTTTGCAATATTTGATGGCATGTGTGAATGAGACATTGTCTAGATGTATTTATAAAACTGTAGGTTATTACTGGTATTAAGGTTTGCAATGTGTTTTCTTTGTTTTTGTATGTTGGGCAAACAAAATGTGACAAGTTTTCTTATTATTGGTATCGTTTAACCTAAAATCTACACATGAATTCATTCACCATGTTCACAAATGACTGCCAATTGGACAGAATCAAGTTTCGCTTTAAATAAAAAATATTGAAGTTTTTTAAAGATCATGAAATATTTCTTAGAAGAGGACATGTTTACACTTTTAGTGGTGACCTGGAGTCATTACTGATTTTCAGTGATCCATTCATACAATTTGATTACCATTTTGCCTTTTACGCTCAGTGTAATCTGTTTCGGCAGATAATCTCTGATTATTCTCTGGTATTGATGTTTTATATTGGACGTATTACACATTTGTGGCGACTACACGTTTACTGCTTTGACTTATCTTTTAGTTGGCATGAGTCCGAGATTTACAGCACTGTACAGTAAGACTGTTTTTTTCAATCCTTGAGACAGTGTTAAATTCAATTTACATGATAATTGTGGTAAAGACTATTTCTTCTGTTACAGAAAAATGGTGGTTTGTTGAGGATATTCCCTGAGGGCAATAACCGAGTGGCCAACATTGATCCAGTGTTTGACCGTCTGCTGTACTTTTGGTCAGACAGACGGAACCCACATGAAGTTCAGAGTTCCAGTCGAGAAAGGTCAGTTTGTCCTTCAGCTGGTATGAACACTGCTGTACAGGGAATGAACACTAGTATGCAAGTTAGTGTCAGCCTGCTCCTCAGTAAATCTGACCTGGTGTAGGTATTCTCAAAGCTTGGAGAATTGTGAAGTTTTCCTTGGATTATTTTATCACTTTCGAGTCAAGATCTGTGTGTTTTACCATGGCCACCTTGCAGAAGGACATCTAGTGCTTGAATATCTAAGTATATGTCTTTTTATCCAGATATGCCATCACTGTGTGGTACTATGACATGGAGGAAAGAGCAAGAGCCTTAAGGAGATACAAAGGTGAGAAATCATACGTTTCTATCATGTTAAGTTTGATAAATACTGCTGTTCAATCCCAGAGTTTCCTTGACAAGGTTGGTAGTCTTCGTTCTTTTAATGCCAAACTCATCAGTTTGTCAGTGTATGACTGTAGCCTTTAAATATTCGAGTCTGGACAGGACAGTCCAGTGATTGATATTGTGAGCAATGATCACTCTGTCGGGGTATAATGACACACAATCATCCCTGAGCTGACCTCCTGATCCATGAAGTCCCCTTGTATGACCAGCATAGGTTCTGTTTGCATAATGACCTTGCTTGTGCATTTTAAACAAAGTTGTAAATGTATGTGACCTGCATCGGTTGCCTTTCCTGCCACATTAATCTTACATGCCATGATGAAAGTGGAATATAGTTTAACTTTCAATGCAGTGTTTACCCACTCACTACATGTGCCTCATCCTACAGACTGAGTAATATCATTGGATTTAAGTTATAGTTATTACACTCCTCCAAGGGCTTGTCCTGAGCTCAAGGTATTTGGTGGGGTGGCTTTGTGGTTAAAGCGTTTGTTCGTTATGCTGAAGGCCTTGTTTCGATTCCCCACATGGGTACAATGTGGTGTCCCCGCCATGATTTTGTATGAACATTGCTAAAAGGGGCATAAAATTCAACTCCCTCACCTATCACTCACTCACTCACTCACCTATCACTCACTCATTCACTCGCTCACTCACTCACAAACCTATAACTCACTCACTCACCTATCACTCTCACTCACTCGACTATAACTCGCTTGCTCACTCACTCACTCACCTATAACTCACTCATTCACTCACTCACAAACCTATAACTCACTCACTCACTCACTCACTCACTCACTCACTCATAGTATTAACCAGTAGGATGTCTGCTTCAGATCGACTTCATCCCACTGTTTCAAGACATCCCATTCATTTTCTCCTCTTTCACAGTGTCGGATGTTTTGTGATGAGATGCTGCATTACATTTCAGGGTACTTGTATGTCAAGTTCTGTTTTCTGTTGTTCCAGGTCATTCCAGAAATGGAAGGAAGTCAGCAGTGCCATTGATAAACGGTGACCGCAACTCGTAGCATCCTCCTTCCTTATTGTATACCACATCCACAATTCCCAGTGCTAGACGACGAAAGGTTGATGCAGTCAGTGACACATGGGACTATACAAGATGGCTGCCATGTCTTCTCTAACAAGCTTGATTGGTCAACTTGAGTGTGGACTATCATGTGACTTTTTGGTGTAAATGTTGAACCCTTGCCACACTGGAGTGTGTACCTATGCTTTGCCTTGACTTGAAGGCATGTATATTATGTGAGCACTTGTAACATTTGTAATTATTTCATAGTTTTTTCCAATTTTCTGCCAGCTGTTACCTGACCTATCCCAGTTTTCTTTTATGACTGATATTTTTGGTTTATTAAATCAAGTTTCATTTCACACTATTTTTTCACTTGATATTAAAGAGATATTGCCCTCATATGTCAGGACCCATGTAATGATGGTAGTCAGAACCACATGATTTCCTTTGGTGTCATTTTGCTCTTGAATGCATTCATTTTTAGAATAAACCGTTTGTGAAGACAACTATATCCACCTTTCTGCTCAACATAACCAGCAAAGCATTAACTTTATATGTGTGTTCAAAGAAGGCATTTTCCTGAGACATGAACAAGGTTTTTCATGGAATCACTTGTGAATTGTTATCGTGTATGTGCTGTTTTGTCAAAAGGTCTATCAAGACATTTTATGAATGTGTCATACTCTGCCGTCAAGGTCTTTAAGATTCAGACAGACATGAGCCAAAATGTTACCATTGTGAATTTCAGAACAAGTGTCTCCAAATAAGGATTCAGGATTGGTCAACAGGCACTGTTGTCACAAAAACTGTACAAAAACAAAATTCTTTTTGTATGAGTTTGATGTGATATAATTAAACAAATTCCAAGATAAGCCATTTGTTATCAGTCCCTGTGCAAAGATATGTGGTTTGATCATGTTGTATGAAAAGGGAAACCCCAAAACCAAAAATTTGTGCCAATGATGATTAAAAAATAATCTATCTGTAAACTTCTTAGAGATGATGCAGTCACCAGTATATATGAGATGGACTATTTGCTGTAAAGGAGATATCGCTGTGTGGAGTAACCTTGTATTAACACAACACTACGTAGTTCCAGCTGGTGACGCTGACCAATTAATCATGGAAGAGAGTTGTTTTTTTAGAAGCAATTTTACTGTTAAAGAAAACTGAAAATAAATTGATGCATAGACATAACAATCTATAAGCTTGAAAAGACACATTGACCATAGAAAATAATGTTATTTAATCTTGCACCTTTGAAAATGGATTGTTTGTTTCTGCATCATTCAAGCTTTTCCATAATGGCTGACGTTAAAACAGTGTTGACTTAAAGGAGTCAATCCTGATGTGTACTTGGTTCATGTTTATTACTTGTCAGCTTTACTGGAATGAATCTATTTTGGAATGTTGATGTTCATCTGTCACAGTTCAATCTCATTAAAATGAAATCTTATTTCTCATTACTGCTAAACAAAGATCTGAGGATATCCCATCACGTCAGAATGACCTTTCATCCTACCAATCAGAGCTTCACTTACCAGATAAGGAAAGTAACGTCCAAAAAGTTTTTTTCTAATCAGGCATCCTCAGAAAGTGAGTGAGTGGGTTGGGTCTAACGCCGCTTTTAACATTATTCCAGTTATATCACAGCGTGTCAGCTTAATGTGGCAGAGAAGCCCGAAGTGATGCAGGTCTCAGACATTTACCACTTTGATGAAGGAGGAGCACGGGTATTGTGCTGACAAACCTAGAAACATAATCGAGGCGCACCGGGATTCGAACCAACAATCATAGGTTTCTGGCGTGCCCAAGGGATGCAACTCTGCACAGAGATGACTGTGCCACCCGTGTTCCTGCATTCTCAGAAAGGTTAACGCAGGGTATTCCGAATGACAGTTACGGGCTATACGACAGATTCAGTCAAAATCATCATCCAATTATTGCTTCAATGGGATAAACATTTGAACCGAAGAGACTTTGCATAGCCTGTGGGAAGTACTCCCTTACAGTCTCAGCCATCTATTAGACATGCATAATGTTCTTTTGTTCAGTTTTCAAATTTTGAATCGTGAAACGTGTCAAAATATGTTTCAAAGTGTAATCTGAAATGGAAGTCGCCAGTTAGAAACTAGTGCCGTACAGTTCAAGAAAGCTGCTTTCTGATTGACTAACGTCGACTTCTTGTTAGTCATTTGATTGGTTGGTTAAAGTTCGTGAAAGGTCGTTCTGAGGTGACGCGTAATGTGATCATACCAGATCTTTTTTAATGAGATTGGTCACAGTGACTCAGTGTAATATCGTTGATACTGTCACCTACATAGGCTCTGTGTGCACTGATCAAGCAGTTTCATTAATCTATCCAGGAAGAAGCTCTGCAGGTTAAATTTGTGATGGATAAAAATATTGGTCTCTTCAAATCAAGTTTTTTGGCTTTTGATATTTCTTGGAATCATGTTATGGTTCTTATTGTGGCATTTGATATGCACCTTCCTATGAATTCCTGTCTTTCATCACAGTATTTACCATGTTCACTCTGGGTAGATCTACTGATATGGCGACTGTGCTTGTCGTAAAAGGCAACTAACGGGATCAGGTGGTCAGGCTCGCTGAATTGGTTGATGCATGTCATTGGTCCCAATTGCGTGGATCGATGCGCATGATATCCATCACTGGATTGTCTGGTCCAGACTCGATTATTTACAGACCGCCGTCATATCGCTGGAATATTGCTGAATGTGGCGTTAAACAACAAACCAACCAACCAACCAGCTGGTATGGGCTTCTTGCACCCTTCCATGTACAAGTATGTGTGGTTCTCCTGCTTATCTTTCATCACAGAAAGGCCAGGTCAGTGATATTTCTTGTTTTGTCTTGTCTTGGTAGGCAGGAGCAAACAATGTTGTCAAGGTTGATTTGAGGCGTAATTCCTTAAACAAACCTCTATATATAGAAATATAAAGATAATAGAAACAATACAAGCCTATTTTCAATCAAGTATCACATTTTATATTCATTTAGATGTATTTACTGTTGCAAAAGTTAGACCAGATGTGTGCACTAAACACAAAAAAGCATTGGTCTGGCCTAACATGTATGAATATTGTCCAGAAATGAACAGAAACCAGTCCTCAAGAGCCTGCAGTTTTGTGTGGTTTCTGGCTATTATTTACAGCACTGTTTGTTGTGTATGCAAATTTCAGCACTTTTTATTACATTGGGGATTCTCGTTTCTGAGAACATTTCTTTGTGTCCATCCCATGGTAGAATGGAATGCCATGTAGCTTTGTGGGCTTGTTAGGAGGAATGACAATTACAGAATCACTTCTTTATTGACCTAGATTATCAAAATAACGTTCCTCACTGGCAAACTGCAATTGATATTCCAGGTCAATTAGCAATCACTATTTCGTTTCACTTAGTGCATGAAATATACTGTTTGAATAAAGCCCTGGAAGCACCACGACCACCACCAGCAGTAGACTGACAACCCATCTTGGAAAACCAAAATGGGGATCAGTGTGTGGGGGACCCCTGTCTGGGGAACAGGCTGAAGAAATAACCAAAGCCAGTAAATTACTTCTCATTCAGAAGTATGTGCCAAAATTGTTATGGGAGTGCCTGATGCATGGTGTAGATATCTTGAAGCAGTGTTTGTCCCTTATGTAATAGCACCTATAGTGTTCATTATCTGCTTTAACAGTGTGTGATTATCATATGTAATTATAAGTGGTGTTTTATGTCAGTTACAGGGTACTTTGTCTGTGCATATGTTGCCAACCTAAAGCCCTTTTTCATGAGTTACCGTTGTATTTTGTATCTATTCTAAAATTAATATTAGGATGATTGTAATTTTAAATTGGTCACCTATCAATACTGTACTGCTGTACAATAGCATTCAGGCTGAGTATTCTTTGAGCCAGGTACTAAAACATGTTGGTTCCATGCAAGGGACTTCTTATGGTTTTAGGGTTACATGAAGCATTAAGAACCAAACCCAAGAGGTGTAGCACCAGGGTGGCCTAGTGTTTTGGCCTGTTTGTTTTCGATCAACTTGCCTGGGTTTAAATCCATACATGGGTATACATTTGTAAAGTACATACATAGGGACTCTCAAGTAAAACAACTCATTCACCTTAAGTGCAACATTCTATTTATTAATTTCAATTGCCTGGAAATCCTAGTTGTTCTTGATGCTAAAATACTTCACAAAAAGTTTAGTGTTAATAATTAATTTGTGATATTTTATATGTCGAAGATAGTTCATGTTCTTAACAAATAATATGTTTTTATTTTTTCTACCATCATAGTTGGTTACTTAAACAGTCGGTTCCTTACATTTTCCCTTCAATGTGTCATTTCACATCCACAATGGAAAGTATGTGATTTGCAGGCTGTAGGCTGCAGCAATCCATATTGGGACCCATTGAATTCACAATCCTCCATTGTGGTGGTCGGGTAGCCTAGTGGTTAAAGCGCTCGCTCGGCACGCCGAAGACCCGGGTTTGAATCCCGACATGGGTACAATGTGTGAAGCCCATTTCTGGTGTCCCCCGCCGTGATATTGCTGGAATATTGCTAAAAGCGGCGTAAAACTATACATACTCACTCACTCACTCACTCACTCACAATCCTCCATGTATTACAATCTTCCATTAGAACCCATTTATTACATTCCTCCCTTAGAACCAAGGACTTACATTTTAGTTACAATGTCCATTAAAGACTATTTTATTTCTCTTCTTAATTACAATCTTTTATTACACTCCTCCATGTAATCTTATATTACAATCCTTCTTATAACCAGTATGCTACAATTCTCCATAAAACCTTGTATTACAACCCTCTATGTATCCTTCTTTTGCAATCCTCGATTAGAACCCTTGTAAACCTTTCATTAGAACCCTTATCTTACAATCCTCTATAGGACCTTATATATTACAATCCTCCATAGAATATCTGTTTTAGACTCCTCCATATAATCTTGTATTCTAATCCTTCTTATAACCTTCGTATTACAGTTCTCCATAAAACCTTGTATTACAATCCTCTATGTATCTTCCAATTACAATCCTTGATTAGAACCTTTGTAATCCTTCATTAGAACCCTTATTTTACAATCCTCCAAAGTACCACCTTTTACAATCCTCCATAAATCTTATATTACAATCCTCCATAGAACCCTTGTATGGAAAATGAAATATTATACAATCTTTACACACAATCCTCTACAGAAACCTTCAAAATTATAGGTTGACTTATTTTTAACAGGACATGGCGAACCTACTATCCACTGGCAATGCAAGAGTAGACAATCTAGTCAAAGTAATTGTTTGTGTACATCATGATGTTTTGGCAC